TTTTTGCATACATTTCCTATTTGCTCTGATGTGGTATTCCATGTAACAACAAAGGTCACAGACATAATTTTGAGATGTAAAGGTGGCTTTATATTTCTGTGTGACCCTATGTACTTGGACAGCTAATAAAACAGAAACATTCAAAGGCGTGAGGGTGTGTCTGTTATGTTTATTGTTTCTAAATGCATGTATTAACGCATGCACCACTATTTGTATATTGCTTTTGAAAAGGGAAAGAAGTACCTCAACGTCTTGAAGTAGTCAGAGGATAAGAAACAAATGTTTTGGTAGATTTGTGGATGTACAAGTCTGTAAACCCCAGCAGTTATTCTTAAAGAAGAAAGGTAATGAAAATATTTGAGCATTCTGAACCCTTTCTGTCAGGAACTTTAGGAGTTTACTGACATATCAGGAAAACTATGATTTTTTCATTTTTTAACAAAAGTGCTCATTGGCTCAGAGCAAAGGTCATACTCAGAATCCAGAGAATACCCATATCCTTGGCTTAGAAAAAGTAGTAGTATAAATGTTTATTTATTTATTAAACAAGTTAGTTAGATACCAGTTTCTTCCTTGATTTCTTTTTGTGTGGTAATTGTGGTCTGTCAGAGGACAGTGAAACCACTAATCAGTATGTTTCAGAGAGGATACAGTATGGAGGTGGAACCTTCATTTCGCTGAATTAATCCACTGCTGCTACATCTTGATAAAAATCCGTGCTTCTGAGCATCGGTGTTTCAATGTACATGATGTGCAACCAAGCAAATTTTTTTTAGCTTACCAGAAATCCTTTTTGTTCTTTGACAAAACTGATGGGGCAGGTACCTCCTAACCTACTGATGTGGAAGCAGTTGGTTGACGTCTTGTGACTGAGTCCAGGATTAGATACCTAAATTGAATTACTCTCCAGACATGACCTCTGTTTTTAAGAATCTGATGTTTGCTAGAAAGGCTCCTTAAAAACTTTCAGTCTTTGAACATAAAAGTTGCTTTCAAGTTAATAATTAAGGCATTTAAAAATAAAGGAGTGGAATGCATTTGATCTAGCTTTTCATATTTTCTAAGTATGCCAAATAAGAGTGACTTGAATAAAGCTGCTGAATTCAAAAGGTTATGAGTGTGAAGTAAAATAGTGCCATCTAGTTTAGAGGAGGAATTCATACAAGGAAACACTCAGCCAGAATTACTCCAGAGAACCTACACCAAAAGATAGAGACTATATTTTTTACATATTTCCTTTTATAAAATAATACTTCTAAAACTTAATAAATATTTTCTCTAGTAAAAGACAATAATAATTGCAATAATGGCAATAATAATTCATGCTTTTCTCCCAAGATTTGCTAATAGTTTTGTAGAAATTAGTGAAGGAAAAATATGAGGGGAAAAAAATTGAGAGAGCAAAAGAAATTCTTAGTTTATGATAAAAATTATTGAGTGGGAAAAAAGACATTTGCAGAAAAGCCTTTGTCAAAGGCAGTTTAATTTTCAGAATATAGAAAGAATTGTTTACACTTTGGATAAATGCAAATACAGCGTTTAGGAAAATTACCTTTGCATTACTTACTTCACTAATTACCTCCAAAGCACCTCTAAAACATACAATATCATTTCAAATCATGTTAAATGGACAAAAATTGCAAAGTACTTTTCTAAAGTTCAGGTGTTAGAACTAACATCTTTGACATATTTTTATTTACTAAAACTGTGCATATATCTTGAAACTTTCTCATTACAATAGTCACTTTATGAATTGCTTCCCTTGCTTACCCAAGTATTTTTTTTCCATTTTCTCTCTCTTCAGTCTCTCTCTAATACACAAATTATATACTAGTTTTTAAAAGCAAAATTATTACTTTTAGGGAAGTATTATTACTATTATATGGAAGGGAAGTTAATAAGAATGCAAATAGACAGTATTTCCATACAATAATAACAAAGTCCCTAGAACTGATTTGTCACATTTTTCTGTAGCAAAGCCTTCAACCAATATTATTTCATGTCCAATCAGAATATGATTGCATAGTGGATATTAATGGATACAGTGGACAACTGAGCCCTTATAAGAAGTCCATTGAATCTCAGAAAATATTGAGAGTATCACAATTCTCCATGCATATTAACAGCTTAGTGGTAGTGTTTATTCAGCTTGTAAACTTCTATTCATTGACATTCACTGTAACAGGAGATTTTCATGATACTTTTAGGAACTTGTGTTACTGTAGCTGCAGTCACTAATCTTATCTCAAGCATTAAAAAATAATTTCCAGTATCCTTTATATTTGAATGGAAACATCGTTGAACTATTTTACCAGCAGTGTTTAATTTTCAAAGGTAAATTCAGGCAATTTTTACAACCGCAGAGATTTTGCAAGAAGTCTGTTTGGAGTAGTGCATATAGGAACTAGAAAAAATCATAGAAAACACTGTAGATCTGAAAAAACATAGGTTAAAAATATAAAACCTTCTCTGCCGATGGGCAGAGTATGCAAAAGGCAATATTACATCTTGTGTAATGTAAGGGAACATTCACTGGAACTGATATTAAGAAATGTTTATACAAGCTACTTTGGAAAACATACACAGGAATTTATTGGTTTGGTTTGTTTTTTTGGTTTTTTGGGTTTTTTTTAATTGAATCTGACTGGGAGAGCAATCTTTATTGAATTTTCTGATGGTAATGGGATATTAGCAAGTAAGATAAGATTAATTTCCTAGAAAATGCATAATGTAGTCAAGTAAGCAGAGCTGGACATGATCAAAAGAATACAAGTAGATTATGTGATAACCAATTTAAACCTCTGTCTGGTAATGTGTTGATACAGCATGCTAAAGCTGTGGTTACGAAATGAAAGAAAAGCAGAACTGGTAGCAGGTGCATGTGTAAACATCATGTTATTGAGAGACAGAATTATCTTTTTCTCTTTTTTTTTGTTCAAACATATTTCCATGTTCATAGTGAATATTTTCAGGATATATTTTTTAAATGTCTTTCCTTGATATCACTGTTACATACAAATGGAAAGAAAGTTTCCCATGAATGCTTAGAATCATTTGATCAGTAAGACAAGGACAACTACTTTACAAAACTTAAAACTATTTGCACTGCTTTTCTGTATTATACTGACATTTACAATTACAGTTCTTTCATCAAGAATCCTGAATTAATTCTGAACCTAAGAAATTTGTAGACAATATTTTTCATTTTATTTCTGACCTCTAAGACAGGAAAAGGTAAGAATCCCATTTCTCTCAATACTTCAGGAAAAGGAAAGTTAAACACAGTTGCATAAGCAACATTGACAGGGAAGAAAAGCTTCAGCTTTTTTTTTTCTTTTTAACTTTGTTTTCCTAACAGTTAAGAAAGATACTTAAGATTTCAAAGGTTTGAATTGTTTGCAAAATGGAATTTTATTTTGGTAAAATAAAAATAGAAGTCAGTCTGTTTCTTTTCTTACAAGCATAAAGTATATGTAGATGAACAAAGATGTATTCGTGGAGGGCGTTAAGTGCATGACTAATCTAAAATAAGTCAAAGCCTACATCATATGCATCATCATAAAAAGCTTTCCATGTCACTGAATGCACTTCCTTAGCATTGTCTATGCATCATGCTTCTCTTAATTCCCCTGTTGGGAGCTCCAGTAACATCTGAATCACAGCCTTTCTACGTCCAATGCAAAGGAAATGAATGTGATGAGCAGTGCTGCAACTTTCCCTCTCATTATTGCAATTCTTTTCCAGCAATAAATTTTCACTTTGTTTAATTGTAAGCCATGCTTCTTATTATTGTCTCAATTTTCTCAGCAAAGCATCTGGAGATAGACATTAATGTTATTACTTTGGTAATAATTGTGTTAAATAACTGCAGAAAAGCAATAGCACATAACTATTTATTATTATAGTTCTGCTGCTATTACACTCCTGTCTGCTATATAACAACATAAAAGAACTTGACAGTGTAAATACCCAGGTGAAGTAAAGGTTACTAAACCTAAAATAATAATGAATGGATCAAGGATTTAATAAATATACTTTTATGGTTCCTTTTTTATTTTGTAAATAAAATTATATTCAATAATACATTCAGGGGGAAAAAAAAACCTACTAGAAAAAGCACAATGAAAATAGAATTTAGAAAGTGACTAAAATATGTGAGAGGAAAAAAAGGAGGGAAAAAAAAAAGGAAGTTTGGACAAAAAAGCTGTTCCAGAGCTTTGTTCAAAATTTAGAGTTAGTACGATATAAGAGGAAAAATCATTGTCTCATAATATCCCGGTAACTGCAGAAGAAATCTTTGCAGCTGCTGCTGGTTGCACTCTGCAGCTGATTTCCATAGCAGTACCTTTCCCAAAAGATTAGGAGTATTACACCACTAGCAACATCTTTTCAATATTAAACCCTTACAAAGCAAAATCTAGCATAAAGTTTCACTTTTATTTATTTGTGGGGTGGGGGTTTTTTGGGAATTTTTTTTGGTTTGTTTGGGTTTGGGTTTTTTTGTTTTGGGTTTTGGTGGGTTTTTTTGTTTGTATTGTGGATTTTGGGGATTTTTTTTGGGTTTTTTGGGGGTTTTTTTGTTTGTTTTTTGGTTTTTGTGCAGGGAGCCTCAGAAGAGTTTCACCTGAGCAGATTCCAGGGAAGAGAGATCAAACAGGTGTGGGGCATTCAGGGACAAGTTGGTGAGTTTGGAGCAAATGCAAGGCAGAGGAGTGAGGGTGGGCACGTAGCAGGTGCTAATCAGGGCTGATTGAGCTCACCTGGGAAGGGCAGATCCCAGCACAGCTCAGGAGAGCCCTGAGGCCAGCAGGTCACTTTTGGGGTTTGCCCTCTTAGCTGGAGGAGCAGAGGGTCTGAGCTACTGTGGAGAGCTTGGGGTTTTGTTTCATTTTTTTAGATGAGGTCTGCTAGATTCTGAAAACAAATGAAGCAAAGTAGTAGCTTGCAATAGAAAAACAGGCAGATGACATAGTTACAGATCATCGATGTTCTGTGGAGATGGCTGCAAAATGGAGGAGGCTCTCAAGCAGCAGAGAAGAAAAAAGAGAAATTTTGAAAAGGAATTGGAAGACATATGCACCAGATTCTGTTCCTTGAAGAACTGTAAGAATAGGTATTTGTGACCAGTGGGGAAAAAAACCCAAACCCTCAATAAGCCTTCATGCTCCTTCCTGTAAAGTCATCTAAAACAGGGCTACACAGCTCGTGGCCTAGAAGAAGATATCCTGTGTGCAGCAAAGCACTTCCAAGGTGTGGAGCAGAACAAAGAGAACTTTGATGATTCTGGAGGTAGGTAGGTGTGGGCCTGGCTGATAAATTTAAGTGCTTTTTTAAGCTGAGTAATATTAATTCTGGAGAATCTTAGAGGAGGTGTTCGCATCCTGCCTCATATTACCCTGTCTCCCACTAATAGTCCTGGCAGAGGGGAAGTTACTGTTTTTCCAAACTGCAGAAGATCTTGACTAAAAGATATGCTGGTGAGTAAGGCCAAGTACAAATGGCTCAGGATAGAAGCATTCTGAACACATTCTTGGCTTTGTGCAGTCGGAGGCAGGTGATGGAGATTTGCACTAGAATGTTGAGCATGGCAAAGAGGGAATATCAGTGTGGGGAGAAAGGTAAGGTGCTCTTAAGTTGTGCTTTCTGCCATAGTGTAGTAACTGTTTGCAGGCTTGCTCTGTTAAGCCAAAAAATGTTTTTGGAATAGCAAAGTAACTGTAAATGAGAAACAACACAGGCAGATGAACTGCCAGGTGAGTTACAGAAGGTGAAGTCCCTGTTTCTGCAACTTGTGCTGGGCTACTTTGTGCAGTATTCTTAAAATAATAAACATAGCTGTGAATGAGTGATGTGAGGAGGGTCCTTCCCCAGCTCTCTGCAAGAGGCTGCTCTATGAAACAGCTTCTCTCTCCCAGATTAGCAAGCTCTGAGCCTTTATAAGTAGATGAAGCATGAAGAGACTTGCTGCTGTTGCTTGATTCTTCAACTACTATTCTTACTATGCTTTCTTTTATTCTTGCACTGCATTAAGCTGTCCCTTGTAACTTGCACCCTTCTTTCTAGCTGAAATCTACTCTAGTCCATTTTTTCTCTTGTTGGTTAATTCTTTCATTATCCTGTATTTTTTAGGTTTTTTATACATTTTGGTGTCTTTCTCCTTGAGCATTTTCTCTTATTACTGTTCATTTCTGTTTCTGCCTCTCCTTCTGATTCCATCTGTGTAATTTCCCTTCTCCTCCCATTTTCCCACACCTCATCTTCTTGTCTTACCTCATTCTGCTCTTATTATGTATTTTTCAATGAGAGTTTCTTAAGGTGAGAAGAAAAAGAGTGACATGCTTTGCCAGGTCCCTTCTAGAGGTTTTCTAATTACTAGCAAACCAGTTGTACTTGATGAAACAAATTACTAAACCGTGCTCTGACTCACTTGAAATTCACTTATATATGAAATGTTAGACTGGTTTATGACATAGTCAAGCCTAAATAAAGAAATCTATTTGAAAGCTTGCAAGAAGCTAGTATTTTTAAGAGGGAGTGATGGTTTTGCTGGGTAGAATTTCTAGCTGCAGGTATTCGTATGGAAACTTCAGAATAAGTGAATGTCTCAGTCTGGTGAAAGCCACTTGGCCAATAAATAATTGCCTGGTGGGAGAGAGGCTGAAGTGTGGGAAAAAACCTCAGACAGTGTGAATTAGAAAGCTAACTGTAAACTGGATTTTTTTTTTTAAGGCAGCTTAAGTGATGAAATTAAATACTAATTCATAGTTATGTCTATGACTCTGGAAGTTGTTAGAAACAATAGGCACAGAAAGCTGGGTCATACCAATTAGTCTTCCTGTAAGAAATCTTGTCTTAAAAAAAGAAAAATCAACTTTCCAAAGGCATAGGAACACTTCTGTAAATGTCAGATAGAAGAGAAGTGAAAGAGAAATTTCTTTGTGTTCTTTTCTGATGCTTTTAAAAGATGAACTTTCTTCTTCTGACTGCTATTTTCCACTAATTATTGCTAACCATACCACTGCTTCTTGTAACTGTATTTTAAATGGCACACTATAGATCTGTAACCTATACAGTGGAAATGTTCTGTTTTTCAGAAGTATTGTTTAATCATTAATACTTTAAAACTTTCTTTTAAAGTAGTGGTGGGCTGCCTTTTTTTTTTTCTTTTTTTATACAAGTGGGGCAGTGGAAAGGGCTACAGGGATGGTATCTGTAAGGAGCTGGCAGAAGCTTCCCCTGTATCTAACAGAGCCAATGCTAATCAGCTCCAAGGTGGATCTGCTGAGAGAGGAGTGAGAATATAAGTGAGGAACAGCTGTGTAGAAGGTGGGATGGGAGGTGCTCCAGGTACCAGAGCAGAGCTTCCCCTGCAGCCTGTGGTCAAGACCATGGTGAGACAGCTGTGCCCCTGCAGCCCATGGGGATTAAAGCGTAGAGCAGAGATCCAGTTGTAGCCTGTGGTGGAACCCCTGGGTGGGGGAGGCCCAGAACACAGGGGCATGCCCAAAGAGTCTATTACTCCTGGAAACCCACGCTGGAGCAGGCTCTTGGCAAACGTTTGCACCTATGGAAGGAACCCCCACTGGAGCAGGCTGCTGGCAGCCCTTGTGACATGCTGGGGACTTATGCTGGGCCCTTCTTCCTGAACAACTGTGCTCCATGGAAGAGACCTATGCTGGAGCAGTTCATGTTGGAGTAGTTCATGGAGGATTGTCTCCCATGGGAGGGACCCCAAAATGGAGTGGGGTAGGAGTGTGAGGAGTCTTCCCCCTGAGGAGGAAAGCAGTGAGAGAGACAATACATGACCTTATCTCATCCCATGAGACTTTCATTCTATTTTCTTTCTCCTGTCCAGCTGAGGAAGGAAGTGATAGAGCAGCTTTGTTGGGCACTGGCATCCCGCCAGGGTCAACCCACCACAGGCACTTTAATGGCTCCTTACTTTAGGACTAAAGAGGTTCTTTTCTTTTAAAATCTTGGAATTATTGTTTGCTGAAGATTATTTCTCCTTCAGGTAATGGAGTATCTGGTTAAACCTTAAACCCCAGGAAAAAAAAAAGGCAATAAACTTGATCCTTACTGTAGTTCATGCACTCCCAGTAGTGTATGAATACACAGTAGATGTGGTTTAGGGGAGAGCGAGGGGGGAAAAAAGGAAGGAGGTGCACTGTGTTGTGGTATATTATGATATATTTACTGATATATATGACCTCTAGATTTTATTTTTACCACGTTCTAAAAAAAACAATCCAAGACAAGCTGTCCTCCCTCCAAAAAACTGAAAAGACCCCAAGCAGAAGACTTCAAAAAAAGAACATCCCAACACAGGATGATAATATTGATACCACTTAGTGGAGGATGCTATGGGTATGTGTGCCACTGCTGGTTTCAGTTCCTGCATCTTGGTGATTCTGTGCAGTGCAGTATGATAGGTTGAGAGTGCATACTGATAATACATCTGCCTTAGTGATGTGATGGGCATGCTGTAATATAAGCTGTGTCCCTGAAGTGCAGGATTTGTTAGGTCAGGTACAGTTCTGCACTGAGATTTTTGTGCTAATATATGACTTCTGAGTCAATAACCTTCAGGACTGCACTTCTCTGCAGTTTGCTGTGTTGTGTGTGGAATGTGCTTGCTGTTCCAAGCCTTTTTCTAGATAATAGTTTGCTTCAAAAATTTATGGTTTTCTGTCTAGTTCACTTGGTTTTGTTTTCTCAGTTTCAGTTTCCATTTACGAATGTGTACATTTTCAGAAATACACAAGTGTTTAGCCAGTCATTTCAGGTTCTTGCTGTCCCTGTCTCTGAGCTTCTGTGAATGAACTGTGACTGAGGGACTGTATTAAATGAGCAGATGCAAAATATGATTGAAGCACAAGGCTTATATTGAGTTAGAAATAGAGTGAAGTTTTCCTTTCAGTGTCCTATCAAATAGGACTGTACTGTTGCTGATATAAATGTGATAAATTGCCTATGAATAAGAAAAAAGCTTCACCTCTTTCTGATGCTCTGTATAAAACCTGATTTCTATAGAACTCTTTCAGTGACTCTTATCTGCTTTTATTACTGCTTTTTAGATATAGTTCATCCTTGAATGTTCCTTAAAGCAGGAATTTTTTTCTGCTTTTGTTCTTAAGTGTGGTCATACAATTGTTATAGAAAGTTAATACTGTTGGGAGGTCCCTATCTCCTCAGACTAAATGTGAATTAATATACCATTGATTAACAACTTTGAATTGATATGAATGTACTTATGCTTATTCGGCATGGTTTTGTGTGTAAGATTTATAGCAAGTTATACTCACATGTTGAATAGGTTGCTGGTCAAAAGGCCTAGCAAGCTCCTGCCAGCAGCAGACATGAAGGAAGGAACTGATTGTTCCGTGGTAATTCTTGTCTTTTACAGTGTTCCAAGCTTGTCAGAGCAGAATGTTGGGTGCACTTTGCTATCTCAAGCCTTGTCAGCCCTTTAGTTACCAGTCACTGGCAGACGCTTCCTCCTGCTCCAGTTGGTCTTGTGCTGGTTTTACCTAGCACAGGGAGCTCAAACCAAGGGGTTTTGTAGCACTACTACGCAGGCACACAGTTTATGGTCATTGGGAGTGGGGCTGTGGCCGAGCCTATCCCCAGTGGGTGCAGCTGTGAGCAGCGCTGACAGCAATGAGCCATGGAGTGCCCAGGGGCACTGACCAACCACCAAAGGGAACAGAGGGCATGCAGGTGCAGTGTACCCACGTGAGGGGTATAAAAGGTTGGGCTGAAGCACGAGAAGGGCAGACACTTGCAGCTTTCTGAAGTGATGTGGTGTTGCTCTGTATGGGCAGATGCCTGAAGCCTTCTGATGTAGTATTCAGGTGCAGTGTACCCACATGAGGGGTATAAAAGGTTGGGCTGAAGTACGAGAAGGGCAGACACCTGCAGCTTTCTGAAGTGATGTGGAGTTGCTCTGTATGGGCAGATGCCTGAAACCTTCTGAAATTGTATGGTGGCACTCTGTGTGTTGTGGCTGTCTCAACTGTGACATATGCTGCAACATGAGTACATATATGCTAAAGTGGAAGGTGTACTTGGCAGGTATGATGTTTCTTAATGTGCTCGCTTGCTGTAATCTGAAGATGTTCCCTGGGTGAGAAAAGTCTTCCTGTTTGTGTGGTTGTTGTGGAGTTAGTTCAACCAGCTTGCAATTAAACTAAGATAAAATTAGAATACTTTTAAATTAGGTTCAAAATGGGCAAGTTAGTTAAAAGGCTAATAAAATGTAAAAGTCAATAAATAGTTTTGATGTAGTCAGGATGAGGTTCTTTTGAAAGTCCCCTCTCAACTCCAAGAGACCACTCTTCCCATGTGAGCAAGTGACAGTGAGGAGTGTCAATAATTTTCCCTCTTCAATCTGCCCAAATCTCATAGATATGTTCATTATTTTCACTTCTTTATGTCAGTTGCTATCCTGGAAATAGTCTGGCCATTTAATTAGAATAAATATTGCTTCAATCTCTTACAAATGTATGTACCTGTCTATTAGAGAAATGCATCATTTCCATTTGCCTTGCCAGCAAATAGCTACTTGCTGCATCTGTACCAGCACATGGCAAGTCTTATATTGCACTTGGCATTCCACATTATGTGATATGTGAGAAATTTGTGATTAACTGTTCAAAAATAATAAAATGTAGCTCATTACTTGACTGGATGTGATAATAATTAATTGCTGATACCTGATCTTTCTCCAAAGCAGGCAGACTTCCAGTAGTCACGCAGCCTCTGTTGCACAGGTTCTGTTGCCATTAGTTATGAAAAGCAATTATTTTGTAGGACATGGATTATAAAAATGAGAGCAAATTCTTATAGTTCATCTTGTAATCTCCCATAGTTTGTTTTGCTTTTCTTACTTGATGAAACATTATTTTCTGTTATTTTGGAGAAAATGGACCGAGTTTTGTGACTGAGATAGCAGCAACATCTGGGCGGGTGCACTGCACAGGGGGTCAGGACAGGCTGCTGCTTGGACTTGGGAGGAGATGGGAGAACTCTGATGAGCTGGGCGAGGCGCCCAAGCTCAGGGTACAAACACTGACCATGGGGCTAACTGTGGGCATGGGGAGCTCCAAGGGAGCTCCACCACTGCCTGCAGTACTGCATACTGCACTGAGAATCAATCTGTTCTTAGGACCCGTGTTTTGGAATTGTCTCGTTATCGAATATCTAGTTACAGATGCTTGCAGGAGCTTTTAATCTCAAGGTTTCTTTCATTTAAGAAAAAAAATAGGGATTTTAGTCCATAAAGAAAAATTGCTTTAATGTGAAGAAATTACTGTAATATTTTTAAATGACATCAACACTGCTGGAACACCTTTCCAGTACTCACGGTTCTGTTATTTTTTGTCTAGTGAACACTACTGGACTAATTTTCTCAGTTGTGTTGGTATTTCACTTTTTGTTCGATTCTGGTTTGCAAAAGGGGTCCCTTGTTGTTGTAGGAAAATTCTAACACTGCTCACTGCCTGCAGCCTGGAGTCCATAAGAATCTGCTCTGCTGGGTTGCAGTCCTCCTTCTCACTGCAAACCTATCTCTTGTATAGTTCACAGTCTTTCTAAAGAGGACCAAAATAAAAGCATCAAATTAGAACATTTTGTACGAACATAATCTTCTGATTGTTCTTCTTGTGCTAGGAATGTCCTTTGTTGTGTCTTTTGCTAGTGAAGTCTTTGTTGCATCTTTCATTGTCACAGTGGTCAGAGTGACCAGACATGATGTCTTCACTTCTGTTCTTGCCCTGAGTTTATCTGTCTCTTGGCTTTCACTGTACCAGGGCTAAAAGGTCTGCAGTGCTACCTAGTTTAGCTTCTGTAGCTGTCTGATCTCTGACATTCTTCCACATGGAAGCATTCACAAGGGTGATATATTTTATTTAATGTTTTAATTAATGTTTTTCACAATGGAAGTGAGAATGAGAGAAACTAAAGAATTCTGTTGCAGATATTGCTAATATCATGGAGAACTAAGGCTATCCTTTCTAAACTCACGCATTGAATTAAATCTAGTTTTTGACTCGCAACAGTAGTTACCTCTGTTAAAAAAGAATCTTAAAACCAAGCAAAGAGAACCACTAAGCTTTGGGACAGAAACTGTTTATCTTGCATTGTGGTGTATCAACATGTTCCAGAACATCCCCTATTTTAGTGACCTAACAAATCTGGAAGTAATAAAATCTTTAAATTGTCTAAGTTTATTATGTGAATGAATACTACTGAGTAATATCGGAAAAAAAAACCATGTATGATGTGGCTTGTTACATAATGTTTTTCAACCTGTACAAAATTTAAAATATGACATCATGTCTCCTATATTTAGCATTTAAATTTAACAAAATGTATTTTCACTTTGGAATTTGTTTCTAGCTTTTCTTGTTGTAAAAACATAAGTAGAAGAGTTTTATTTCATTGCTTAATTGCTGAGCAATTTATGACTTTTATTTAATCTTATCATGCAACTTTGCCACCACTTGCCCGAAGTTCTGCTGCTTAAAACTTGGTTGCTGTCTTTTATCCAAAGGTCTCCTGGTTTAATTTACTTTTTCTCCATTTTGATCTGGAGGCTATATGAAATGAAACCTGTAGTTCTACCTTACATACTTTCTTGATAAACCTGCAAATAAGGTTTCTGTTGCAGGATATGTATCTCATCTTTAGTATTAAGTCTCAGCTTGTATGTAATATGAAATATGTAAAATGCTGGTAGGATTTAAAACAAAATAAAATTCTACTTAAAGAATCATAGAATTTGCCTGTGGACAAAGAGGAAAATGGAACACTAGTTGAAACTAAGATTTTTTATGAGTGAAAATACATCTTTACTTTGGAACAGAATTATAATCTGCAATGACAACATTTTACCTTCATATTGCTTCTATAGCTGTAGAATGTCAATAGCTAAGGGAACATGGACATGTTTTATTGATTCTACTGTGGCATGTGAGGTGTCACATAAAGAATTCAGAGATAACTTCTAATTTATAAAGCATCTGTGGACTTAAGTGTTTTCATGAATCCTAAAGACCTGACATTGTCAATATATAATACAATTGATTTTTTTTTTCTTATTTTGTTTGCTAGGAATTGATATTTCTATGTATGGAAGGGAAAATACAAGTAGGATTACCTGTAAGATTGAACAAATAATATGAAAGATGTTTTTTGATTTGGCTTTCTGTTTATTCTAGTGCAAACTCCTTTTTTATGTCAAAATTAGAATATATCAGTGTAGGAAACTATTTTTGTGCTATTTAATCACTTGTTGTAGCTGATATATGAGAATGAGCATTGGCAATGTGATCAGATATAAATATCAGACCTGAGAAAAATTTAGAAGTCCAGTGGAATAAGTGATAATCTGGAGATACCATTATCTTAGTTTCAGTGTATTAAGTCAGCAGCATTATATCTAATACATGTCTTTAGTATCTGGTCCTATTTATTTTGCCAGTTATAAGTGAAAGTGTCCATATTGCAGTAATTTGTGTCTGCTGCTGGCGTATTAGAACATATTAGAGCTTATTTTTCCATTAGGTTCTTGTTTGTGCATGTTCTGAATTTTTTTCTGTGGTTCCAAGGCAGAATTTGTTAGCTCATTCTGTGACAGTTTGTCTCTAAAGATACAAATTCCACTTGTCCTAAGTTTCTTAATTCATTTTGAGAGGGAAGAGGGGGTGAGACATAGACCTTATTGGGGATATATTTCTTATTTATAGTATAAGATTCTTATTAGCTTTTGCAATTCAAAGTTTATTCTATAATAAATTAATATATTTATGTTGTTTTGACTTCTTAACAGGCAATAACTTCAAACTATAGCTTCATGCCTTTGCTGAGAACATAGATTCTACTGCCAGGAAGTAACAGTAAGTACTTAGGTGTTATAATTTCTATTTAATGAAGAAGTTTTCTTTTTAAGTGTTTGATGTTTACTTTAAGTGTGTTCCAGGAAGCTATTATGACTGTATTGCCAGTGCTGAAATATACAAGTAGGTTCTCTCAGTGGATCAGATGGCTCTTGCTCAGAATATTTAGTTGTTTTTCACAAGAGGGAAAACCCAGTCAGAGTAAATGCTTCTGTTTCAGTTGGCTGTAGTTCCCAGTGTTTTCATTGAATGGGCATAACTGTGTTTATGAAAAAAAATTTTGAAGTTATTAAAATCATTAGAAAATGAAGGTGGATGAGTTACTATACATTTGAAGAGTTATAATATATTTTAATGGATAACAAGATACGAGAGGCAGAAAATTAATGTTTAGCTGGAGAAAAGTCAGTGTTCTGAAAGACTAAACAAAGGTACAAAAGTAGTTCATGATAGGCTATTTTTAGGTTATTGTTTAGGGTTTTGCAGCCAGGGTTAAAAACAAGTGGCTGTATGCCATCAGCAGTAATTTAAAAAAAGACTTCATTGTGCTTCATAAAGACACTGCTCTTCTTAACAGCTTTTAACAGTCTCCATGCAAAACAACACAATTGAAAATTGCTGTCCACATTAAGGCTTTATGTCCTTTGTAAATGAATTTTGAACGCACACCTGCTGTAAGATTGAATATAAAAGTAAATTTATATCAGTTGCTGTGTTTATTACCGAGGGATTGATTTAGGACAGTTATATCTTTTATTAGCTTCCAGTTTGCCTTCAGTCTTCATTAGATAGTGAATAAGGATTGTTGGAGGGAGACAGGCAGTCCTGCACTCAGGAGCAGAGTGTGCTGCTGCTAGAGGGCTTTTATGACCTCAGGACATCATCGCTTGGGGCAATGTCTGATCAAGATCAGAAGAGTAAGCCCTGTGGTGTTTCCACGGATCTGTAACAATCAGTGTCGTTACAAAGTTGTGTTAAGACTAGTTTTGGCTATTTGTTTTTAAATGTAGTATTAAGTTCCTACCTCTCTTCCTAAATTCATCTTTACCTGTGAGTTATCAAAAATGATTACACAATCTTGCACCTCTACAAGCTGTGGTACAATGAACTCAGATAAGATTAAATCCTTTAAGAAAGAGATATGCTGAGTATTCTTAAATCAACTTGCCTCCAGTGATTTCGGTGTACATACAAGTTGACACAAATGTTGAACCATTTCTTCGCTATTCTTTTAAGTAAAGGGGGAGAGTTGGTGACCTTGAAGGGAGAATCAGCTTTAATTTGCAATATGAAGATCTTGGACTAGGTAGGATGCAGCATTTTAGGAAATGCTTTATAACTTTTTCTTGGTCAATTTCTTTTTATAGTGCTTGCTCTTTAGAGATTTTTATTTACTGCTAGTGGTCTGTTACACTTGAAAGCTACAGAGTGCTTTTGAAGGATTCTGTACAAATATTTACATAAATGCAAACTGCATCTTTCCTCATCACAAAATTGTTTAAATTTCTTTCTGAGGACAGTCTTTTCTGTGGAGGAAAATAGTTGCTCTGCATCACATGATGCTATTTTTTGAAATATGCTGAGGGTGCTCAGCTTTGAGGTTTTTGTTTGTTTTTTATTTTTCAATTGAAGTGAGACTGGGTGTGGAGGACAAGTTAAGTGTCTTCCAAAGAAAACTTGGGATTTGTTTTCTAGACAAATTAATAGGAAGAATTAGGCTTTCATTTTAAAGCTTTGTAGCAAACTGCTTTGTTGTTTTGGTTTTATTTTTCCTTGATATCTGCTTTTATTTTTAACTGGTCAATCTGTATGTCCCCCCCCATGCTGTGAAAATATTGAGCCAACACACATCATTTGCTTCTCAACTAAGCAGTGAAGAAATGTCAAAGAAGGTAGTGTCAGCTAGAAGTAGAGATTGTATTTTTTTCCAGCAGAGGGCCAAATGAATTTTAAACCTTTATAGTAGTTGCTTAAGAGACACTATTTGATCTTGCAAAGGTGTATTTTCTGCTTAATCACTTGATGATCTGTCAATTGGATAAATAGGGAGGATTCCATTACTATCATAATTATTATATGGAAATGTTTGTTTTGCTACCAGTAAGGAAGTAATTTTTTAAAAATCCTGTTATGCATTAATATTTTCGATGGCTTTTCAGGAATATATTCAAATGTCCAACACACAGTGCAAAATAATGAACAGTGAAGCTATTCTGTCTACTTTACCAATTCTGATTATACCTAGAGGCCCATGTGTACTTTATCCTGAAAGCTCAGCTGTTCTAACATGTTGTTTAAAAAGCCCTTTTGAGAATTGCTCCACTGATTAGGGGTAACTTTTATGTATGTCCTCTGTGTCCAGTGATATTTCTTGCCTTTGTAGAATACCCTGTGGCTTGAAGGAGATGAAGACCAGCAGGGAGCCCATTATCTGGGCATCTCTGTAGATGACTGTTCTTATGCATACTCATTGCTTCACCAGAGAAGGCATATTACTAGATATGATATTGCACAAAACTAAATAGCTGGTTTTGATTGAAATAGTAGCCTTATATTTAAATATGAAGGGAAGGCAGTAGACTATAATGTAATCTATGTCTCTAAAAATCCATGGGTTTAGGTGCCTTCCTAAAAAAGAAAAATATTTTAATAAGAAAAATAAATATATTCCCTGGAAAGAGAAACATTCAAATTCAGAATTTGGATAGACACATAATTTAAAAGGATATAATTTATTATTACTGCAATATTTTAGTAATGTTATGTAAATAATATTTTTTATTTCATAATGCATCTTTTGTTGAAGTTCTGTCAATTCTGATGACTGTAATAGCTGTTGTTTTTTGGGGTTTTTGTGGGGTTTTGGGGTTTTTTTTTGATTGTTTAGGTTTTTTTTGGTGTGGTTTTTTTGATATGTCCACTTCTTGGTTCAGTTTGTCAAGGTTTAGTTTCTTTGTTTGGTTTGCTCATCCTGAGTCAGAGGATAGGGAAATAACTTTCATGGGATTTTTTGGTTGGTTTTTTAAAAGTATTGATTTATTTACCAATAATAAATTACAAAAATGATTTCAAGGATGAAGTGCTGCTAATATAAAAGTCATGGTGTTGACGTGAATGTGCTTCTTTACTTCTCTGAAGTAAAGGAAACTGAATAATCCATTAGATGTTTCCAGAGTGCTTTTTTCCTGTGTTCTAGACTAACCCATGTATTGTGCTTGTACAGTTCAAAAGCCTGTTGATACAGATAGACCCAGAGTGCAATAATCCAAGTCCTTTAGAGCATTAGAATGCTGCTATATTTAAATAAAAACTTCCTCAATTATAGTAATTTTGAGACCACTTTTTAACTTTCACATATAAAGTAATTGGTGTACTCTAATTCACATAGATGAGAATTTTGTAAAGCAGTAACTGAAAAAGAGTCTGTCATGCTATTCAACCTGATGAACTTTGAGATAATTGTGTGATGCTTGTGGATTTGGTGAGTTTTGCCCCTTTTTGCATAAAGAAGCATTTTTGGCATATAATCAAAATTATGATGACTGTCTGGGAAACGTGCTTTCAAGGGTTGCTTCCATAAATGAATCCTAAGTAAAAGCTCTTCATCTAGCACAGAGCACATTAAGCTGGAAGAACAAACAAAAAGCTTGTTGGTAGATCAAAGAAAATACAAGCATAAAAGATACTCTTAGAAGATCAGTTGGTCTAAATATCAGAATTGTAGTAATATCTTTCAGTCTTATTCTCCTCTGGTTTATTGCTTTCATGTAGACCTTGATTATTTTAGCTGCTGGCATAGTTCCCTTCAAAAAGCTACTCATTTGCTGCAACTAATGGGATAGAGAGCAAAGTGTTAGCAGTCTTAGGAGAACTGAGTTCATGTTCTAATGGGAATAAAATTTTTAGCCAATTATCTTGTACTTTGTTCGCCTAACTCTAGAAAAGTAAATCAAACATTGAAGACTGCATCTGGCGTGTATAAAACATACTTGTGTGTACCTATCTGTCCATGTACAGGTAGATAGATAAGGCATATGATAGCTGCAGAAGGTGAGATAATCTTTCTGTATACTGAGAGTGTATTTTTACAGATTGTACACAAGATAAATTCTTGTATGATTGCTAACTTAAATATTTCAGATATAGGTGCTTCTAGATGGCATAGTGACCATCTGTCTGAAGACTCAATCAGACTTGTCAACCATTTTTTCTTCTGTGCTTTGGCGCTGAACTTTTTGCAAATAGATAGGGATTAGATGAGAAGAATTGTCCTTGCAGCTCGTTCTTCTGTAAGCCTTTTTCACTTTTCATTTGACTGAAAGGAGGTCCACACTGCAAGCAGTAGTCCACCGTGTAAAGACTTCTGTATCTTTTGGTGTTCTAGGATACACATATTTAACTAGTGCTGCAGCTGCTTCCTGCATGTGACTTAGGCTAGCTTCCAGCCTCATAGTTAGGGTCTAATGCCCTATGTAAGAGGACAATTTACTCTTTAAGTAAGCAAATAAGCTTTGGTTATTATAGCTCTCCTTCTGGTCACGTAAGAGATGATGGCTCAGGCTTGAAGTTGAAATGTGCCTCTGAGGGTCTCTGTGTCTAGGTCTTGCTAAATCTGAGCAGTCAGTCACTGTACTAACCAGGGAACCTTCTCCTAATTAAGAAAAATGTGTTGTTCTGTCATAGGGAAATCTGTGGCAAATAGACTGAAGTGAAATACAATAATTTGCCTTTTTGTCTTCAAATAAGATGGAATTAAGCTACTAAAGAGCTTATATATAGCAATAAATAAAATCTTGATTGGTGACTTAGAGTTGCAGTAGAGATATAGCAGGAGGAAAAAGCACTGGTTACTAAATAAGGTATGTAAGTAATAATAAAATCATATTTTGGATGCTCTTACTCATAGTTTTATACATAAAAGCAATTTTGTATTACAAATCAACTCATTCTGGTTTTGTATAAAATAGCTTCCCCTGGCCACAGAAATGAAGACTGGAACA